CCAGGCTGGTTTCAGAAGGGGTCGTGGTACTAGAGATATTATAGCTGATGTTAGATGGATCTTAGCTGAAAGCAGAGAATACCAGAGGAATTTCTATCTGTGTTTCATTGACTATGCAAAGGCATTTGACTGTGTAGATCATAACAAACTGTGGCTGACTCTGAGAAGAATGGGAATCCCAGAACACTTGACCGTTCTAATGCGAAACTTATACTTGGACCAGGAGGCAGTTGTCAGAACAGAGCAAGGGAACACTGCATGGTTCAAAATTGGGAAGGGGGTACCCCAGGGATGCATCCTATCTCCATACCTTTTCAACCTATATGCAGAACAGATTATCCGGGAGGCGGGGCTCTATGAGGAGAAATGTGGGGTCAAGATTGGTGGACGATTTGTCAACAATCTGCATTATGCAATGACACAACCCTGCTTGCTGAAACTGAAGAGGACCTGAAGCGCCTGCTGCAGAGTGTCAAGGACTGCAGCCTACAATATGGATTGAGGCTCAATGTCAAGAAGACAAAGATTCTCACCACTGGACCAATTGGCAGCATCAGGATGGATGGTGAAGAGATTGAGATTTTACACAGCTTTAGTTTGCTTGGCTCCATAGTCAACAGTCTTGGCACCAGCACCCAGAAAATTAAAAGGCGCATTGCCATGGGAAAGTATGCTGTTAGGGACCTCTCCAAAGTGCTCTGGTATCTCTTTGGAGACTAACGTGCGTCTGATACAGGCCATGGTCTTCGCAATCACCTGTTATGCATCAGAGAGTTGGACAATGACCAAGGAGGATAGAAGGAGAATTGATGCCTCTGAGCTGTGGTGCTGGAGAAGAGTATTGAGAATACCATGAACTGCTAGGAAAACAAACAGATTTGTCCTGGAAAGGGTTAAACTGGGTGGCTCCTTGGAGGCAAGGATTCTGAGGCTCTGTCTAACATACTTTGGACATGTTGTGAGGAGAGACCGGTCCTTGGACAGGGACATCATGCTTGGGAGGGTGGAGGGGCAGCGCAGGAGAGGAAGGCCCTCTATGAGGTGGATTGATTCAGTGACTGGGATAATTGGGATAGGAGTGTCAGAGACAGTGCGATTGGTACAGGACAGAGCGGAGTTTAGGTCTGTTGTACATAGGGTCGCTATGAGTCGCAGGTGACTCTATGGCACATAACAACAACAACAACAACAAAGAAAACTTGGATTTTCACCCATTCATTGTTGCACATTTTCCTCCTTACCTCCTGCTTTGCTTTTATCTTTAAAAATATTTTTTCCACAAGAGTCCACAATTAAGGTTGCATAGTGGAATGTACTTGCGGCGGTGGGAGGGGTGCAGGGGATTGTTTACAAGGGAGGGAGTCTTTCTTTTACTTTTGAAAGAGAAGAGCGAACTGGGGGGCAGGGGGAGAGGGCTGGGCGGGGAGAGAAGTGCAGAAATGAATGAATGGAAATCCAAATTCTCTGTAAATGTTCATTAAAATTATTAAAAAAAATTTTTTTCATTGTTGCACAATTTTCTTACTCCTGCCCAACCCCCAGTTCACTTTTCTATGCACCTCTTACTCTAGACTGTTATCATGCAAATAATACCTAATCATATATTTCTTTTAGACAGTTCTTTCCCTCATTTATTTAAATGCAGTGTTCATTATTAATCCCTTCTTTTCTTAGTTTTTCCCCAACCCACATGTCAGTCCTGTTTTATAAGAGTGACTTTATGTAGTATTTGTCCTTTTGTGACTGAGATATTTCACTCAGCATAATGTCCTTCAGGGTCACCCATTTTGTAGAAAATTTTATGAGTTCCTTGTTTTTCAGTGCTTCATAATATTCCATTGTGTGGATATATATATATATACCACAGCTTCCCTATCCATTCATTTGTTAATGGGCACTTGAGTTGCTTCCATCTTTTTGCTATTGTGAACAATGCAGCAATAAACATAGGTGTTTATATATATCTTTGGGTGGTAGTTCTGGTTTCTTTAGGATATATTCCCAGTAGTGCCATTTCGGAGCCAAATGGTATTTCTATTTCCAGTTTTGTTGAGAAAGTGCCATACTGCTTTCCAGAGTGGCTACACCATTTTACACTCCCACAAACAGTGAATACAAGTTCCATATTCCTCTGTTTTATGGGCTATTTCTGAGTAATCAGGTTTATTACACACGCTAGTACAGTTTGACCTTTCATGGAAACCAAAGACCATATTACTAAACAGGTAAAAGAGTTAGCACTTCAATACATATTTTTGAAAGAGAAAAATCAACCCATAATGATCATAAACTTTTTATTGATATACATTTTAGAAGTGTACATAACCTTTTTTTCCTAACTGCTAATTTAACAGCTTGTGTATACTTCTAAACCTAGAGAGAGTATATACTGTAAACATTAGTGCTAGATAGTTCTTTTTCGTGTGTAGGTACAAATCTGAGGTTCAGCTTGTGTTCTTGCAAAGGACAGAATGCTAAGCTTCTGGTTAACTCAGCTATAGCAGTATAGACCTGGGTACACTGGTCAAAGGAGTTTCTGAGCTGAAGATCTCGGGCAGTGGCTGGTCAATGCTCAGGGATCCTAGCCATTACCATAGCACAATGGCACAGTGACAGTGTGGGTTCTTCCAGCTAAGACCCTACAATGATCCTTCCCAAAAGATACTTCCTCCAGGAATAATTTATACCCTATAACTCATCGTTAACTTTATCACTGAAATTTCCAACAAGGATGTTAGTTGATGCCAAAGCCACAGTGGTTTCTCTAATGTGGGTGCCTCTGAAAGAAAGGGCAGAAGAGCATTTCCTCATAGGCACCAACCAGTGACCAGATGACAATGATTTTTAGCCACTTCGAACATGGATTGCATATAGACCAGTGGAGGTGAAACATTGTTAGTGAGTTAAGGAGCTGCCTTTATTTATTGCTCATCAGGATATATAGAGTGGGGAGCTCTTCTGTCTATAAATGAGTAAAATATGATTTTTAAAAAAAATTTCTTGAATTTTTAAAATATTTTATACCAGTTTATTTGCAAAGTTTGAGTACATTGTTTTTCATGCGGCATCTTTCCCATTTCCTTCACCCGCCCCCTCATCAAATTTCAGGACCCTATATGATTAACACCCTCTCCCTGCCCGTCCTTATCCCTCTGCTTCCTCCAGTAGGTTGATGTCTCATAAAGAAAAACAAATTTATGAGAGTGTAATCAGCTTTGTCTATTAGGAACAACTAAGGATCCTAGTGGTAAAGTGGATTAATTTTTGCACTGTTATAAAAAGGTTGGAGGTTTGAATCTCTCTGTCACTCTGAGAGAAAGATTTTCTGGCTCAGAAATCAACTTGATGGTATTGGGTTTGGTTTTGTTTCCATACATACTTTCTAATGTATGAACTAAGAGCTCTTTCTACTGTCTTTCAATTTTATACATAATTACTAGGTTCTTTGTCTCTTCATTGACCTTATTATCCAAAGGTAAGGTTGTGTACTTCATGCTCCACATGGAAGTCTGTGACCAAGGAGAAAAGGAGGTCTTGAACACTACTGCCCCCTAAGCCTTGTGCCCTGGCCTACAACTCTAATTATTGAAAAAAAGAGGGGGGCGGGGGAGCTCCTATCTTGCTGATCAAGATGAGGCACTTTCCATCAAGATACTGTAAAGACTAACCTGTCAGCTCCTTGTCCCCTTCTCTTATTCCTGTCAAGTCAGAACTGACTCATAACTGACCCTCCATTGAATTGATTTGATTTGAGTTCTCAAGACTGCACATCACAAAGATTTCCCATCCTTCTCCGCAGGAGCAATTGATGGCTTTGAATTGCCCACCTTTGGATTAGTAATGCAACACCTCAGCCAGTAGGATCACCAGAGACAAAACTCATTGCATTTAAGTTGACTCTGATTTATGGCAATGTAGAATTGAGTCCTATATAGGGTTTCCATGATGGGCAATCTCCTCTCATGTGATTTATTGCCTCTGAAAACCCATTGGAGGGTCCGCTATGGGTCAGTTCTAGCTGGATGGCAAACCACCACCAATCTTTATGAAAGCATATTGCCAAGCCTTTTCCCCATTGCACTACCAGATGGTTTTGTATTGTCCAGTCAGTAGCAAGCAACAGACTATTTTTGACACTCAAATAATAAAATCATAATTATATGATTAAAACTGTACATGTAGTCATATGCAAAAGAAATAGCAGACAGACTTGTTCAGAGCCACAAAGCCAAAGTGATTGCATCTGCTGATTCGGCTCAGAATATTAGGAATACATTAGGGCATGTTGTGTTCTGACCATGTGCAAAGTCCTCTCTCTGTCAAGGTTAGAAAACCAAAGATTCTAAATCAAAGGCCTAAATCTCATGCCAGTGACCAAAAAACAGGAGTGGAGCTGACAAGAGACTCATTGACTTTTATATCAGTCCATTCATGCTGTGGATTGTGTCCATCAACATCTCTACTCACCCTTCGTACACCCACTGTCACCATCCCCTAGGCTGACAGTGCCTCCTAGTGGTTTCTGATTGAGTGAGTCCTTTCTAGCAAAATCCAAGCCAGGGTGTTTTTCAATTGTTTCTTATGAATCTGAAAGGACAATAAATAAGGAAAACCAAAGAAGACCTGTGAAGACTGAAGAAGCGATGCCTTTTAGCTGTGTTGGCAAAGAATATTGAGTGTTCTTGGGACTGCTGAAAGAACAGCTCTATCTTGGAGGCCATGTTATCAGGACGTTTCTTAGAGGCAAGAATGATGAAACTTCTCATTTGGGTACAGTGTCAGGTGGGATCTCTGCTTGGAAAAAGACATCATGCTGGTAATGGTTGAAGGTCAGGGAAAGAGGGGAAGCCTCTCAGAAAGATGGATTGACACAGCAACAGCAGCAATTGGCTTGACTGGTAGAGTGATGATGGAGCAAGATAGGACCAGTTCTGATGTGTTGTTTATACAGTTACTATGAGTGACAGCCATCATCTAACCACAGCTACCTTCTAGTGAAATCATCTCTGGGAGAAATGACATGGTGTCACACAGGCACTTTTCATAGGCATGTGGTAGCGCATTTTTGTCCAGAATCTGGAGCTTGGAGGAACCGATTTTAAGCCTCTCCACGTGATGGTGGGCAAAACACTGAGAGCTTTTTTCACACGATGAGGGAGGGACTCCGGCTCTTTGAATGAACAGAACTTGATTAAAATGAGCTTCAGTGTTTGATCGTCCAAAGCAAGGTTCACTGCTGCTTCTAGTTCAAACACATTGGGTCCGCTGAAGTAGTCGGGGCTCAAGATAAATATACCTCTTCTGCTTTTCTTAATAATATTTACAACATCTTCTGCATACACTGGAAACAAAGAATTTAATTATTTGTAATTGTCATTACTAACTTTCAGTTACACTAAATTTGATCCTATCCATCAAGTAGGTCCCTTCCAACACATGACCTTAAGTAAAGAGAAAAGAAAAATTGGATTATTTTATTGTTTGTTCAAGTTTTCATTAAGTGCTGTTAAGTTCACTGCAATTCATAGCATTCAAAAATATTTTCTATCCACCAGCTGCTCTGAATGAAAAACATGAGCCATCTTTCCCCATGCTATTTACAGCCTCTGAAAACTCCGGAGGTCAGCTCTGAGTCAGTTTCCACTTGGCAGCTAGTGACTTGACTTTTACATATCTCTTCCTGTGTTCCATATCCCTACATTACCAATTCCTCTAAGAGCAGAGTTGTTAGCACAATGCAAACTGGGAGAAGAGAAGGATAAAGAATGGCTCTGATTCCTTGATGGTGATGTGTAAGTCAGTGGTGGCAGCCACAGGGCAGCCTGGGATCTGGGTATCTCCTAGAAGAGACTGGGATAGACAGACCAGTGCCCAGATGCCTGCTTGACTCAAGGTTAAGACTTCCTATTATTAATTTCGGGATAAAAACCACAGCCTCCAGAGAGCAAGGGAATTTTTGACTGAGGTGACAGAAAGAACTCCCTACCATGGATTTAGTAGACAGATATCTCTCCTGGAAAGCATTCCCAAGACCTAAGACCTTATTTTGCTTTGGAAGATTTTTCTTTTTTATGATTGACCTCTGGAACATGTCATTTCCTACTTTATTGTCCAAGGTAGATGTTATAACCTCACCAAACCGTCCTTGAGAAAGCAGAATGGCAGAAAGAAGGTAAAAAGGGTGTACCTCCCCCTGGGGCCACATCTCTTTCAAGCAAACACAAGGTGTATCCGTATTTGTTTTCCAAAACTTCAGGAATCAGATTCAGAGCTAAGTTTTCCTCACTCAGAGAAGAAGTAGCCTGACTCTCCAAAGAGTTCCATTTTGCATAGGACACAAAAGCATCAAATTCCTTCTTATCTGAAAAGAAAAACAGTAAAACGATAAGTTATTTACATGGCTGTGGCATAGTGGTAGAAAGCTATACTGCAATCTCCAAAACAACCTCAACTGTGGTTTGAATTCACCAGCTCCAGCTGCTTCTTGAGTGGATAGGCAGTCTCTTCTTGTGTAATTAATTGCCTCTAAAAACCCATTGGATGTTCAACTATGGATAGATTCAGACTCCATGGCACAATAACAACAACAGCAACAATGATGTACTTATTAAACAAAACAAAAAAATCAAATCCAACCCACTGTCACCAAGTTAATTGTCACACATAGTGGGTTTGAACAGTTAACCCTTTGATCAGAGCCCAATACATCATACACAGCACCACCAGGACTCCTTACACACATGGCTAAAAATAAATATGTAAGGTTGTCGTTAAATTAATATTTTTTTTTAAATTATTTTTTTTTGTGTGTGCCGTCAATCAGATCTGACTGGTAGAGGAGGAGATTGCCCCTCCTTCCAGCAGAGCACCTGGTGGAGTTGAACCACGCACCTCTGAGATTGCGGTGCAGCTTCTTGTCACTAGGCCACCAGAGCTCCCTTGAAATAATAAATTTTTAAAAGTCACACTATTGAGTGGCATTGATGAAGCATTCCTTCCTTTTCACTGAGGTAAGATCAAATAGCTGTTGTTTGCTATGATGAAGTCACCTGCAGTTGAGAGTTACTCTGAGGTTACTTTGCATCTGCTGTGTTTCTGGCTCATTAGTTACACATCAAAGGTAAATCAGCACTGTAAAAGCATGGAAATATCAAGTGAGAAAAGCTCTGTTAAGACCTATAATACTACATTTACAGGAGAGAACTATATCCCTTTATAGAGTTATTATATAGTTGGATTATATACATTTACTTGCCTGTGAGTCAAATCTGGCTCATGGCAAACCCATGTCTGACAGAGGAGAAATGATTGTTTTCTTGGCTGTACTCCTTGCACAAGTAGATTGCTGGCTCTTTCCGCTGTGTAGCTACTGGGTAGGTTCAAACTGTCAACCTTAAATTTAGTAACTGCATGAGCTACCCAGGAACCAACCCCCCCTCCACTTCCATACACAGTCCTTGGGTGACCTAAATGTTTGGCAACCTAAATTTGTGTTTTGAACTCACCCAAAAGTCCCTCAGAAGAAAAATGTGGCTACTTGAATCTACAAAGGTTATTATAAACAAGAAAAATCCAGTGGAAAAGTTCTATATTGTCATTTATGAGCTTGTTTTATGTGGAATAGATTCAAAAGCAAAGACATTTTTTTTTACCCCAAACTGACATCTACCCTCTACGTTTGTTTGCCAATTGCTCCATTTCCTTGGGAGGTGTTTTCATAAGTGTCATCATGCCAGCCTTTTTTCTTACCCAATAATGTTTCCGGCACCTCTAACTTGAACGTATTTTAGTCCCTTCTGCTACACAAAATGAGAACAATAACAACTTTATCACAGGCTCTTCTAAGTGTTGTAAGAAATAATGTGTAAGGACTGCTTGTAGAAGTCACAAGATAAACACACCTATTTTTCTAAAAGCTTGAGGAACTCTATTTATGGAATTGGTTTTAGGCTGTTTTAAAGATCACATATCCCTCTGCTGATTAAATTATTACAAATGTACACTGACACTAGTATGTGCTAAAGAATTCAGTGGATAAGACGGAACAGGCCCAAAATTAGGTCACAGGGTGTGGAACTGGATACACTTGGTTCAAATTTTAGCATTTTGCACAAGGCTTGCCAAGTAGTTTCGCAGCAAACCAGTAAACAGTGGTGCTAATCATTGGGGGCTATTTTACATTACACATGCTCAATTTGGGCCTCAAAAAGGCCTAAGTGCTTGGAAGTGACATTAACAGAAAAGGAAGAGGAAGTTGTAAGCCCCCAGAGTCAAAGGAGGTGGCCAGTGAGCTGACGCACAGATGCCAATCTACACAGCATCTCATTGTCCAAGTTCGGAGGAAGACATGCATGGAGCATGACTGGCAGATGACTGCTGTGCATTTTAAAAGAAAATGCCTCAATTCCTTCTATAGTTATGTGATACTCCAATAAATGAAGATGCCTCTATGAAATGAAACATTCAATTTCTTCAGTTATCATATTGGAGAGAAAAAGATGTTGTCTTAGGTATTTCCCAATTCTGCCCTTTTTTCCTCCCAATATTTTGAATGGGTTGGGGCAGGGGACAGGTAGAAAATAAAAAGACTAAGGAAAGCTCTGGTGACGTAGTGGCAAGAAGCTGTGCTGCAATCCCGGAGGTACGCAGTTAGAGGCCACCAAGTGAGAGAAAGATGAGCAATCTCCTGTCATGCGATTAACTGACTCTGAAGACCTGCTGGAGGGTCAGCGATGGGTCAGTTCTGACTCTACAGGTATACAACAACAACAGGAAGGAAAAGTTTACACATACGGATAGAAACAGTAATGGGGGTTGAAAAACTGGGTAGGAAAAGCAGAGAGAGGGCAGGGATTACTGAATGGACCAGTAAGGGAAAGGGGAGGGTCCATCTAGGTTTTGAAAGGATGTTGCAAATAGTGACATTGTATGATTGTTGTTGTGATTGTATCTGGTTGAGTCGGAACTGACCCATAGCTGACCCTCCGATAGGTTTTCAGAGACGGTGAATTTCACAGGAGATTGTCCATTCTTCTCCCACACAGCAGCTGGTGGATTCAAACTATTTGCCTTTTTGGGGATTGCAGAAGTTTCTTACCACTAGGCCACCAGAGTTCACTGATATTTTAAAAATGAAATATCAGTAATTGAATAAAAACTAATAATTTTTTAAATTTTTTTTTTTTAAATCTTGGACAGGCAATGCTTAATAGAAAATAACACAACTGTTTTGCTTAAAATTATTTAGGTTGGTCACTAGAGGGCACTGGATCACTGTACTTGAGAACACTGACACCCTGATTGAAGTAATGAGTAGGACTGCATTTAAGTGTGTCTTCTGCCTCTTTAATTCAAACTCTTTAATCTCAAACTAAGTAGGACTTTAGTAAAAAAAATATACTAAGTCACTCCAAGAAAGATAAGATTTTGATTAGATCATTTTCTCAATTTAAAACATCTTAAATTTGTTCTGGTGCTGGACAAGAGTCTTGAACATACCATAGACTGCCAAGAAAACACAGCTCTGTTTTGGAGAAGATGAAACCAAGTTTCTCTTTGGAGGTTAGGATTTTGAAGCTGTCGTTCACATACTTTGGGCATGTGGTCAAGAGGGACCAGTCCTTGGAGAAGGACACCATGCTCTGAAGGGTGGAGAGACAGTGCAGGAGAGGGAGACCCAGGATGAGATGGACTGATATAGTAACTGGGCCAATGGGGTGTGTCAGGGCTGGTGAGACTGATTTAGGACAAGGCAGGCTTCAGATTTGTTGCCTCTGTTGTACATAGGGTCAGAATGAGTCTCAGATGACTTGATGGCATATAACTACAATGAAATTTTAAAAAAAAACAAACAAAAAAACAACCCACAACTCCAAAACATTGGCTAAATGATTTCTAGTATGGGTCTTCGTCTGACATACTTTGGACATGTTGCCAGAAGGGACGAGTCCTTGTAGAGGGACATCATGCTTGGGAGGGTGGAGGGACGGCGCAGGAGGGGAAGACCCTCTATGAGATGGATTGATTCGGTGACTGGGGTAATCGGGAT